GAAAGGAAAATATACATGCAGAGGGAAAGTTAGTACAATATATTTAATTAGCTAGATGTAAATGAGAAAATTGGGAGCAATTTTGGTTTCCGACTAGAGAGTGTTTTATGCCCTAGGATTACATATGAAATGTGTCGAGAAACCTTCATGTACCTGTAAATCCTTTTGGGAATCTTAGTACAACCTGAATATTGAGCCCTCTGTGAAAAAGACCTTTGTCAAGGTTCTCCTGTGCCCAACTAGGTTTAGTTGGCTTAACCAAAATAGAAAATTATTAGCAAGACATATGAGTTTTTCCCTGGGACAAGATAGCTTGACTTTGCCAGGAATGTAAACTATCCCTTCTTTCTTTCTGGATACTACATGGTTCCTCTTAAGTACTTTTCTCTTTTATTCCTTCATTTTCTACAGATTGTTGTCCTTGCCTGTCTGCACACACTGCAAACCACATAGTCTAAGCTTTTATTACAAGTTACAAGCAGAGACCAATTCCAAATTAATGGGCAAGAGAACAGACATAGCTTAAGGCAGGAAGCATCTCTATTCTAATCTTCTCTAACCAGGGTGTAGCATTATGCAGTGCAAATATTGCTGCCAAGTGTATTGCTCACAGAGAAATCATTATGGGTGGAGTATAAATTACTACACCAATCAATTATAGCAACGGTTTTGATATCTACTCTGGCATACCTGCAGTCTTATACCATGCACGTTTGACTAAATGGCAACACTTAGAAGAGCCAAATATTTGCTATCTATTCCCTCTAGACTATTTTCCTCCATCTTTAACTTCAACACCATATTCTAATAAAATTGAAAATATTTTAAAATTCTCCTATTCCAAAATGGATATTTAAAGAAGTCTAGGTATATAAATACTTACAATGCATACATATTTATCCTTATCAATCAAAACCAGGCTAACTTTAGAAAAGTTTATTACATGTCTTTTCTCCATTCAAACAGCATAAAAGCCAATCAAGTCTAAGTGAAACCAAACAGTGCTTTGGGTTTTAATATATCAAACGTGAACTGCTGCCTCACTGGTTAAAGCACTGCTGGTTTGAAGATAGCATACAATCATTGGGAATAGGTTATTGCATTTTGAATCAAACTTAAATTTCCTAAAGCTGAAATGTTTGGTAAAATTCTAGTAATCATTGACTTTCTTATGGCAGGTTAAAAAACAAATCAACAAACAAACAAACAAACAAAAAACCCAACTTTTCATGTGAGCCTAACAAGTGAGGGGAAGTAACCAAATGAATTCGATGTTATGAAAGTTGATCAAAAAGACATGCCAGAAATAATTTAATTTGATCAAAAAGACATGCCAGAAACAGTTTTCACAGTGCAAACTCTGAGCAATAGTTTTTTTTCAAAATTCATCATTATGAAGCATATAAAAATACACAGGTATTCAGAGACTGTAATGGGACACACATATGAGACTTTGTCTTCATAAGGATGTCTAATATGTTCCTGTGGTCAAAAGCATTCATAGTCTGGGGTCAAATAGTAAACATTCTTCCGAGATCATGTGCCAGGACAGAGATAAGACCAAAATGGGATTTCACAAAAATCTTTAGATAATACAGAAGCTTGCATAGGAAGATGACAAGCCCTACAGCATTATCTGCTTTTGTTCACACAGTATCAAAATCAGCAAGAGAGTGCTTCCACTTCATTTATCGCTTGACAATTTAACTTCCCATTAATGACAATCTTAAATGTCCCTTGCTCAGGTTTAAAACAATTTTTGAAGTCTTCCTTGTGAGCTTTATTTGAAAATTAAATATTCTACGAATTATTGATATATCTTGTTCTACCTTTGTAAATTCAAGCTGAGCAGCAGTCTTCAGCACCATCTTACACATAAAATGTTTTACTTTAACCTTTATTCCTGCTTGTGTCTATATATAGTGTAAGATGCCCTAATATCACCTATAGATGCATCTTCATCTAAGTAAAAAAATACACACACACACACACTCATTGATCCTCAACACATACAGAATGAAATATTTCAGGCTTCCTGTGGTTTGATGCATGGTTTTCCAGTACTTGTTCCAAGATTCTTTTATACTCATTATTTCTATGAAGTCATTCAACTTGGAAATAACTGCCTGCCAAAACTAAGTTTCTCTGGTGAACCACTCAACATAGCTTCAATTTCACAAAGAACACCACTCTTTGAGTGTTGTTAATCTTGGCTTAGAAACACACATATTTTCCTTTCTACTTGAACAGTTCAGCTCCTATTCCCTTAGCTAAACTTTGAAACCATTAGACATATTTCTAGAATACAAATATGAGTCACCTACCTGCTGCTGATAAAAATAAGATTTGTATTCTCTCTCTCTCTCCTCTCTCTCTCTCTCTCTCTCTCTGTCCTTGGAGGCCATGAGAGGATGAGGATGTCAGATGTGAGTTTGTGTATGATGTTTATCCAGGGTAAAGATCATTCATAATTAGAAATGTGAGGACTTCCCAAATAGGACCCAATCTTGCTTCTGTAGAAAATTGCCAGCACTTCATTACATGGAGTTTTAATATTTAGTCTGATTTTAGAGATTAAGTTGCTATGATACCATGTCCCAAACATCTACATAGATTTTAAATTATTAAAACAAATTAGAATTCCTGCGATAATACTCCTAAACACTTTATTCTAATGCTTATTTACATTTTAATATCTCATTTAATATTGCACTTCCAAAACCCTCTTAAAAAGTTTTAACATGAAAATTTGATAATTTAGTTATTAAGTGGCACTGTCTACAGGATATACAAATATTTTGTCATCAATATATTTTCTAAACAATATGATCATCTGAAACTATCAAAACTGAACATTGTTAACATAGTACAGGCTTGAATTTATTCTCAATTGCTCACAGGCTCATGGCAATTATGGGAAAATAAATTGAAACTGCTTTGTTCACAATGAAACTTCTGAAGTTAAAGATCTTTCATTATCACATCTTATGAAGCTATGTCTCCAAGTCTACAAATTCAGAGAAATTAGGTCATGCATAATTACCAGACAAGATGTGTATAAAGGTGGAATTCTCATAAGAATTCTCTATGAAACTGGAAGAGTTTATACTGAAAATATAATACAGGAAATGAGTAATATTACTCCATCATCAAGGTAGAACTTTAGGAAAGTAATTCAGACAGAAAACTGAGAAAATGTTACAATTTATTAAACACTTAAATTTGAGTTTGCTACTAAATATCACAGGCTTACAGTCACTTTGCATTTTTCTTAGTGGAAAAAAATCTGAACACCTCAAAATTGGATGATACCTTAGACTTGAAAATGTCTTTGTGAAAAAAAATTGTATTCAAACTGATTTAAAAAGTTTTCTCAATTGCATGATTCAGCTTATATCTACAGGTAAATTTTCTGGCATGCATACAAGTGAATTCCATTGAATGTCTAATTTAAATTGCTTTCCAGGGTATACTACTAATACACACAAAAGAGAAGACACAGAGGGAACATTTATCAGTGAAGCCACTTTTATTTTTAATTTTTCTACAGAGATAACTTCATATCAATTACAAAACTCATGAAATGAAAAACTGGTCATGAAACTGCAAACTCAAAAAAACAATTTGACTGACAATCAGGTTTCCCCAGATGAGTGTTAAGAAAAAATAAGTAACCAGGATACCATAAATTCATATTTAAGAATGTGTTATATAATCAAAAATAATAAATACAGAATAACAGAAGAACTAATAGCATAAACAGCATGAAGCACATTTTATTTTTTAAGACAGATGAAATTTCTAGGCACAGTTTTAGGCATTAAAGAGGACACAGAGGCATAGGTTAGTGTGCACTGCTCTGTACAAAAATACAGTCTGAATAAATTACATTGCTAGCCATACAATTAGACAACACTTACCAGTCAGTTCATTGCATGTGTAATAATATACAGGTACATGCTAATCCATATATATCATTTATATTTCAAACACATAGGTCTCTCTGTATTTATGTCTTTAAATTTACATGTTGACCTTACAAAAAGCTAAATACTTGTGCA